CCCATTCAGATGTCATCGCAAACCCGCCATGCGAGACCGAGACAACAAGAAGAATGCGACAAATTGGTCATTCCTTACATGTATCCTCCAGGCCCAGAAGATCCAGTACGTGTTACAATAACCCACTTCGGGAGCACAGGGACCCATAACCCCCCGGATACATTGCATCCGGCTGAAAGCCTTCCCCACGTGCCGGAGCCCATGCTCTATCGTCGCATCGGTACTTTCCATACATCCAAGTTCACTACTGGAAGATGGGACAGGTGTGTTTTCGGGGGGGATAGGAATGCTCACTGGAAAACGGTCCACCTCGTTTAAGGGCAGGTTGATTCTGGGATGTGACTCACACACGGATAGATAGCTAGTGTTCAAGGAATACTTTTCATCATGTTTCTGTCTCCATTTCCTAGAATAGGTATCGTTACTCAGGGCCTTACTCAGATAGCCAGTTTACCCAGATAGCCAGTCATGGATGCGGTTTTTCTTCAGAGATGAGGAAATTTGCCTGCGAGCAAGTTTGTGTTAGCATGACCGTACCCTGATGAGTATCTCTCCCCTTTGTTTCGCCACAGCTCTCTCTGAGAGCACCTTGATATATTCGTTTCTCAAGCAATCAGTACAGGCATTGGTGGTTGGCCGGCTAAGGTCGAAAACAAAATGAACATGAAGGTGGTGATCATTCATCAGAGTGGCGAGTTGAGCGGCGTCGGAGATCTTGAAGACTGGATGTCAAGCTTGGTGTCCAGCTCGGATGAATCTGGAGTACTTGCTTGCACTTGTGCTCTATCATGTGAGTCTGGTGGCATTGGGCCTGGGAGTCTCTTGGGTGAATATCTGAGCTGGGTAGCAGCGGCCAGCCACCGACACTGGGACACGATCGCCACGCTTGACATCCCTATCGTCCCGCGTTCGTCTAACCATGCTGGCAACTTCAACACCGCACGAGACAAGACACAGGGCTCTCGACCGGTTATCGACTCCGTTAATTCCCTTGTAGAGGGTACCGACGCCATTGTCCGACAACCTTATCACCACCCAGTCCGGAGAAACCCTCATTCAGCAATAGCTAAGATTCTATGACGAGCCTAAGATCAGGCCCAGTATCGGAGCAGTGGGCTGATACGCTCGTCCAAATTCCCCCATCTCCTACTACACCCGCACCACCCGACTACGAAGCCAACTACCAAGCCAGCATAATTATGATGCTACAGGGGGCCCCATTGAAGTAGCTATCCCAGTCAAACAAGTCGCCCAACAGGTCATACTAACCCCAACCAATTCGTTCGACCAGCTCCATCCATATTTCGCACTTCCAAATTCCAATGCCCAACCCATTACTGGACCGCTCCGGCTCATCCTTATCGATTCACAACATTAGGGACAATTATAGATGGATAGACTACAGTACTAGCTACTACCAACGCCGTGCCGGTCGAGTTCTTGTCGTCTTTGCGGACGGATGTAGACGACACCCGTCCTCTTATAAAACCAACGTCCGTCCCGAGATGAACGGTCTACGATTTGGGTAAAGGCATGTGTGTTGGAACGCCCTCCGTATCAAAGGACAAAGTCTCGGTGAAAGTCCCATTCCGTTGGTCGGACAGGAGGGCCCTTCGAGTCCCGATGCTTTCTGGCCTGCAATAACTCCCGTCCCATTGTTAGACCTCATCCCGGGGCTTGATGAGCCCGAATGACAAACTTCAGTGGGGTAAGTATAGGCAGTAGAAACTTGGACCGTGAGTTTGTAGAGTTGTGGGATGAAGTTGACTGGGTATGTAGAACCAAGTACATAGTCACACTGGTGATGATGATGATGAAGAACGATGGTCTCAGACAGATGTTAATTCCCGAGAGAGAGAGAGATGTTTAAGTTGATGGACAGGTGTAAGTATCTGAAAGATCCTCAGATGATGAATATGGGAACCTAATGGAACACGTACTCGCTCGAAAGTCGAAAGTGACTGCCCACTTGATGCAGATGTTCGCATGCTTTGCGACAACCCACGGCGGGGCATCTGAATGGTTTCGCCTGATGGCAGTTGGGCTTGGGCTGGTAGCCCTCCGGAAACAGGCCTCCGTTGCCTTGGTAGGAGACCTCGGCGCCATGTTTAGAAGGGGTAGACGACATTTTGATGGTCTGGACGATCCCAAGGAACTCCGGGAGGTAGGCATGTGGGTGCGGGGCAAGAAGGAGAGCTCGACGGCATACGGATGGGGCGATGGGATGCGACAGGGAGAAAGATTCGAAAGTGGAAGGAGGTGTTGAAGCCATCACATTCTTTGGCGTTTCTGTCTAAGTGGATACGATCCACACATAGCTACCCTGTATATAAACCACGTCGGACTCCGTCCTCCCTGTTCTGTTCTCTCTCTCTCTTTTAACCTAATTAATACACGAAATTCACTCCCACACTCAATGCCACTTGTGGTGTATCATTCCGTTACCTCCAACAGGAGGAATATCTCGACATTTTAGTCATTCATCACCACACATGTTAAGGTTGTCGCGGAAGGGAACATGCTCTCAGTCACAGCAGACAAAATTCGTGAGAGATGAATGACGTGTCGTGTCAGATTGCATATATCTTCGAGACGATTCGATATGATCACTTCATCGGACACAAGACATGGGACAAACAACTGGCTGCTCGGTCCCATCAATAGGTTTTGGCATCTTGTAAAATCAAGCTGGGTATCTCAACGCCGAACACCCCTTCAACAAAAGAAATTCCCTCGAGTCCAAGTCCCTTTCCTCCGCTGTCAATGACCGCCTTGATGCTCGGCATCGCGCCCACAATCGTCCTTTCCCATCCAACTCCTCCGCTACGTGCCGGCTGCCGGACTAGTGCCACGATGGACCCCTTAGTTTGGGCCCTCGGGGAAAGGAGCTTTCGAACGGCGGAGTCCCTCAGGAGAAGGAGCTCACGGACGACCCCGGGCGTTGTCTCCGGTGGCTTTGGCTATCATTGAACTTGAGTCAGCTTCCGTTCTGCAACATACAGTGACAACAAAGGTAAATACTTACAGCCGTTGGTCCTCTCTTGGAGGGGTCTGGTCTCCTGGGCCGGGCGCAGCGGCTCGCTGCTGGCAGCCACTGCCGCCAAGGTGTCCAGCCTCGCTGGCGCAGAAGAATCGAGGTGGCTGTGGGAGTGGCCGGTGCCGTTGCCGGTGATGTTACGCGCGCCGGCGTTGGGGATATTAGCGGCGCTGTTGGTGGTGGTGGTGGTGGTGGTGGGGTTGGCGCTTTGATGGTTGCTGCCACTTCCATCAACGGGACCAAACGTGACCGGGCGCGCGCCAGGCAAAGATTGGTAGTTGCGCTGCCACTGAAGTGGCAGCGTGCCTGGGACGGCTCCGGGGACGTTTCCCCAGAGGCCAAACTCGCCGAAGCCGGCGCGGAGGAGAATCAGAGAGTTAGCCGCCTCAATATCTTCCTCGCGGCGGCGTTGCTCTGCTTGCGCCGGTGTCTCGAGACGGCGCTGCTCCTCTTGTTCACGCAGAAGTTGCTCTCTGCGGCTCTGTTGCGCGGCCTCGTGGAGCCTCTTGTGTGGGCAACCCGAGCCCATCTTGGTTGGTTGGTGATGGTCGTGGGTTGTGGCTGGGTTGTTGGTGAGTGTGGTCGAGGAGTTGAATTTGGAGGGTTGAATTTCAGGGTCTTTTTATAGGAGAGTTGAAATTGTTGTGTGCAATCAGGGCCGTTCCAAATTGTTCTGCCAAGGGCAAGTCAAAACCAGTTGGGATAATGAAGGGAACAACAGGCAGACGGGACGATGTCTTCCATGCACGGACTGGTCAAGTTCGTCTGAAGAATTGGGAGGGCTGTGACCTAATGACTGCCTCCCGCTCCTTTCTTCGATGATGTCCAAACGGACGGAGATGAGATTCGTTGTGAATGGCCCTATCCGTAGTAGTCTGTAATTCTTAATGCTTCTCCTCCGTTCCTTCCCCGTACTTCACTCGCCGATACTCTGCCCGGGCTCTTGCGGAAAACGTCACCAAGTGTCCAGTCTCGTTATCAGATATTGTCGGTACACATGCAGGTGTATGGAAGAGTTGAAGGGCGGAAGAAGCAAGTAGGAAGAGCCGGTTACTATATAAGACTGCAAGCACGAAGGGGAAAGAGCGAGTGAGGGAAGGGTCTCAATGAGGTTTATATCAGGAAGGATTGACTCTTCAAGAGCGAGTGACACAAAGATGTGACAGTTGTGTGTAGGAACAATCTCAAACATGGAACCCCTTCATCGATGTCTGTCACTTCCATCATCCTTCAAACTTATGTCATTCACACTTTTTTCCCCCGTGACGCTGTGTTGTCGCAAGTCTTTCCCTTTTCTCCTTTTTCAACCGCCCAGAACACCACAACCTACAACCTTCAATTGCACCTTTGCAACATTCATTTGCTTATTCCTGGTAATTTTGCCTCCAATTTCTATTTTCTCATCACTAATTGCACACCAAAACACCAACAATGTCCCGTATATCGGTGCCGCGACCGCGGGTCTCCGTCTTCATGTTCGTCTGACTCCTCTCCGGAACACAACGGCCCTCCGCAGAAGCCATGATTGATCAATCAGCCAAAGTGAGGTGGCTACACGTCCTCGAAGTCAGTCGCTATGATGAATGGTGCGGTCTGGACAGTAAGTCACTCCCGTTTCCTTCGTGCCATTACGTCGTTACACTTTTATCGATATCCGGCGCATGGCCTCTTATGTTGAAATATCGTCACACTTGAGCTCAACGACATTGTCTTTTACATGCACCGATATTGTGTCACATACAACATACAATCCAGAGGTAACGAACGGCGTAATTTTGGGAGTGGGAGTCCAACTCCACTTCGTTTTTGTTTTGAGTCTTTCTATCTTTGCATATATCATCCTTGGGTTGCCACTCGCGCTTTTGATGCTTTTCGTATCTAGCTTCCCTTTCCTATGACTAGGTCTACACACCAAGACAAAGATCCCCTTCTAATGCAGTCGTATACTCCTAGTGTCAACAAACACTTGGCCGTGCCCAAACAAACAACCTGTAAGGACTTGCGTTGGTGTCATGAAACGCTAGCTCTGGTACATTATCATCCCTAGTGCTCATTCTGTGACCCTTCCTTCCCCAGCTTCAACTTCTCAACCGCCTCCTCCAACTCCCGAACCTTTCTATCCACCTTCCAATTAAGGATGTGAACCCTCTCATCCAGAATGTGGTGCAGTCTCAGATGACTCCTCCCCAGATCTGTGATCCTGGTCATCATTCGGTGCATGTCGAGTTCATTCCTTTTGGCGATGGATCCCAAGGTGAGGACCTGCTGCCTCAACCAGGTGATGGATCGCCCGGCCTCTTCGAAATCATACACCAAGCGGGAATGCTTCTCCATGAGATCCCGCAGCTCCCTGTCCGTGTCCTTCGCAATCTCGCGGTACACCATCACCATTTGATGCTCTTCTTCCCTGCTCTTCATCAGCAAGTCTTGCTCCCACTGCGTGAGGCACTCAACACCGCGATCCTGGACCAACACCAGCTCCTTGAGGAAGTCATGGCGCATTCCGCCGGGCATCCTTCTCCAGGCCGTCATGGGATTGTTGTGAATTTTCTGGAGCGCGTTCCTCAGACGCTCTCGCCGGGAAGTAGGCTTGGGCAGGATCGGAACGGGGTGGTTGGTGCCATATGTGACGTTAAGAACGGCACGAGGGTCAACGGGGTGATGGCCTTGGTGATGGCCGCGGTGGAGACCAGAGGAAAAGTTGTGGGGAGGAACACGGGGACCGGGCTCGGAAAGGTGACCTTTGAACTGTACTGGCAAGCCACCTGGGTTCCTGCTGGAGCCGACGGTGGCAGACCTCTTCTCACGGACGGCAGAATTGTTGCTGTCATTGTGGTTGTTGTGGTCTTGCGGCTGCACAAGACTTTGGCTCCGGTTGTGACCACTAGGGCTAGCCTTCCTCTTCTTCGACGGGGACTCTGTCGGGACGACGCTCTCCTTGTTGCGGCCGGGTTTGAGGGGGCGCTTGCGGCGGGAACCTACGCTGGATTCAACAGGGTTTGTAAGGCCTGCTGTGGGAAACGACTTGGGCGAGGGCGCAGGACCTGACATGAAGACTTCCAGAGGCGGATGGTTGTCTTGACCGGCTGGGGAGTTGTCCTCAACAGCACCGACGGAAGGGTTCAAGTACCCCTGTTGGGGTGGAAGCTGAGGCCCGGCAAAGGGAAAACGGAGCTGCTGTGCAGGGAATTGCACATTTGCCTGACCCTCTGCGTCTGGGCCAGCTGCTAATCCGTCATCCTGCGGCACTCTCAGCCGAGGGTCAATGTCGTCGTCGGGGACGCCAGAATCCATGGCTGGCGCGTTGTTGTATGATGCTGTATTCAGCACGGGGCACTGAACCTGCGCGGGTTGATTCTGGTCCGCGAAGGGGTTGGAGAACAGGTTCTGGTTCTGGTCCTGGACTTGGAAGCCAGGTTGGCCGGTTCCATCATTCATGTTGAGCATGTTCATGTTCATATCGAAGCCCTTTCCGTCACATCGGGTCAGCTACTCTTTCTCCGGCGACTTAACAACGGAAGCAGCACGTACCTGCTCATTGTTTCCAAAATCGACGTTCATGTTGTCGACAGCATAATCCTGCCCATGGTTTTGCGCCATGGCATAGGCATCGTAGTCGAACAATGCGCTAAACTCCCCGGATTCGATGCCCGGACCATTCAGTTCGCCTGGTTGGGGCTGGTAGAAAGGCTGATGAGGCTTGGTTCCCTCAGCGCCCTGCTGCCCCTGGTTATGCTGGTCTCCCATACTGTCTTCGTTGCGCTGGACGAGAAGAAAACTAGGGTTCAGTTTGTTCTGTGAGTGCGCTCTGCTTGTGCTTTGAGTGTGGTATATAGAGCGGTTGCTGGTCAAGTACCTTACTCTGGTTCGCTGGTTCTGTATCCTCTTGGATGATTTTTGCAGAGAAATAAATGTCGCGCAAATTCGTCAAGGTTCGAACTTGATATGAAGTGACCGTGGAAGCTGGTCTGTGTGCGCACTTGAATTTTGGGAAACAAATGTGGGACAGTACCAGTGAATGGTTGCCATGGCCGCTCTCACAATAAAGCACCAGCCACATAGCACACAAGGGAAACTGTGTGCCCCCGAGTGATAAATGTGGACTCAAGCAGTCCGCTGTCGAGGCGGCCAGCTGGCTCCGAATTCTTTCTGCTGGACGAAGCATCCAGAAGAATATTCTCGTCAACATGGGACGGAAGTTGAACGTAATTTGTACCATCCTTTACCGCATTCAAGCCATCAGCGGAAAGACGAGATCCAGAGATCACACTGACAGACTGACTATATCAAGGGCCTTCAGTGTTTCATAAGTTGCCGGTATTAAGGACCGATGTCGTCAGTCCCAAAAGCCTCAAGGTTCAAGTCGCCGGTCAGTGAGCTGTTTGAAGTTCCCATGGCATCCTCCTAGTTGCCATGGAAACTCACTTGCTGCTGAGTGTTGAAGTTGAAGTTCATGAACTCATTGTCGACTCCAGGGTGGGCGCCCCACTACTGCCAGTTCATCTGCGCGTGTTGATGATGATGTTGTGGCCCGGGAAGTCCTGGAGGCTCCCTCTAGAACCTTGACCATCACATGTAGGGACATGCGACTAAATGGGGCCCAGGACTGTAAAGTGTCCGTCTTGAAGTGGCTCATACCCGACATGCAAAAGTGTAAGAACAAATAATAAGCAATGCAGTGAGGTTAGTTCGGGTCATGAAGAACATACGTAGCGTAAGGCCATAACTTACATGCAGGTGGGAAGGCATGTCAAGTGGAGGGGACACTGGGGTGTATATTGTTGATCTAATGAAATGAAGCAGGGAGCTCAATGGTATTCCTTTTAAAGACTTGAGAGAGTCAATGATTGTCACAGGGTTACCTTGTGACTATATAGTGATGCATTCCGATGTCCACTGGCAAGTGAACATTGTCCTATCTTTTATAGGTTTGGGTGAGTGGGCATATGCATCCCCGCCCTGTCATAATGATTTTCATTGTTCGGTACGCGAATGCTCACCTGAAAAGGACACCAAACGAGATCAATGGATAAGACCCTATAGGGCAAGTAGGAAATTGAAACAAAAGGCGGAGCAAGGCTGAATGTCACGCACTCGCAGGCAAGTAAAGCAAAGTGGAATGGAACGAAAGCGAGTGGAAGGAAGGTGAAAAGAAAGGAAGGCCGCGAGAAAAAGCATTGATGAATGCAGGAGTGTGGAAAAAAAAGTTCCAAAAAAGATGTTGAGACTCGGATACCGGGAGTCGAACCCGGGGCTGTTGAGAGAGCAGTCACTCCTAAGAAGTGAGAGTCAACGATGTTACCGCTACACCATACCCGATTGAACTGGTATGGTCCGATTTTGTTGAAAGCGGATCGACAGCTTGCTCTTATCAACTTGAGAATACTGTCACTATAACCGGATCATTATTCCCAAATCGAGCCGAAAGACTCTGAGATTCGGGCTCAGCAATTCTTGTAACTGTTTTATCTGTCATCTGGAACCATGCAGTTAGGCAATGGAGCGATTGGACTATAATATGTGCAGTCGGTGGCTGGACGTGAGCATTGGCCAATCTACGTTTCGTACCGTACATATGTACATACCGTATATATTAAATCCTCGATGTGCGCGTTTCTCCATGATCCGCTGTGCCTGCCTTCCCGCTTCATGTCCCCCACATGCCGAGCAAGTACCGCTCCATAAAACGGTTCTCGGCCATGATTTCCAGGATTGTCGACTATCATCGGCCGGATCTACGTGTACTGTAGTGTCACAAGGCCGTTCCGGAGCAACTGGTCCTGTCGAAGCCAACTTGCTGTGTTTTTCATATCAGCAAGTATGCCATTATAGTGATGCAAAGGTACCTTTATTGAAGTGGAGATGAACCAGACTGGCAGGTTGAGACAACCGTTTTGGGAAATGCTGCCTGCAATGCCAGAGATTCTATTTGCTGGCCGTAATGGAAGACGTCATCTATTTTTACCCCATACCCACCATGTCTACAGGTATGTTGTGTAAGTGCCCCCGGGCGCCTTGGCCACTAACAGATGCCCTAGGACCCTGGCACGGGTCACCTAGGGGCTGGTCTTCCCGTTACAGGGCTAGGGGCAACGAAACATAGGAAACAGAAACAGGGCAGCAACACCACGCTCCATACCGTGATACCTTAACCAAATTTCCCCAATTCGCAAGCACTTTCCAGCTATCCCCTGTGTGCCTTGCTCTGCTTCCAAGTGTAATCTGGCCAATGGGATTGCTTCTCATGTATGACTAGCCATGAATCGTGACTTCACGAGTCCCCCACACGTGCGACTCTCCGCAGAGAAACTTGAGTGGTTCGAGTCTGGAGCGTCCCCCTGAGATGCAAGACCATGGTGAGCATGCCGGCAAGTACCTTAGCAACTGCGCCAAGCACATCTCTTACCTCAAGAAGCAGAAAGGCCACAGACAGCATGTGCAGACGAAGCTCATGGACTGGCTGGGCCGCTGCTGGTATAAGTGTAAGCTCCTGTCAGTTGCTTTCTCGATGCCTAGCCTATCTTGGTTCTCATCTTCTCTTCTCTCACCTTTCCCATCCATCATCGCAGCGCACAAAATGTCTTCCCACAATAACCCAGGCTCGTCCAACTCGAACCAGACAGACCCTCGCCAGCACCCGCTCATGGCCACGGTTCAGGCCATTGCGGGCGCTGTGCAGGGTGAGCACCGCACTCCTCGCATGACACATATGATGAATGCCAACGAGGGTCCCGCCGACATCATCTCCAAGGTCGCCGGCGTCACCTCGGGTGGAAAGCGCAGTGACGATGCCCCATACTTCACAACAACGAAGGCATCCCTTGGCCTGATGCCGCCCACAGCAAGACCGTTGGTGGCATCCCCGTTGCCAGCGATACCTTCCTCTTCCAGAAGTAGCAGCACTTCAACCGCTCCAAGTCTCTCGAGCGTATGGTCCACCCCTGCGGTTCCGGTGCCTTTGGCTTCTTCGAGTGCACCAGCGACGTGAGCAACCTCACCAAGGCCAATTTCCTCCAAAAGGTGGGCGAGAAGACCCCCGTCTTCGTCCGCTTCTCCACCGTCATTCTCGGCCGTGAGTTCCCCGACGAGGCCCGTAACCCTCGCGGTTTCGCCATCAAGTTCTACACCATGGAGGGCAACTACGACATTGTCAGCCTCAACTTCCCCATCTTCTTCTGCCGCAATCCCATCCAGGGCCCCGATGTCATCAAGTCCCAGTACCGCGACCCTCGCAACTTCTTCTTCGACTGGGAATCCACCTTCGACTTCCTCGGCAACAACGCTGAGGGCAACCATGCCGGCCTCATGTTCTTCAGTGACCACGGTACCCCCATTGGCTGGCGCTACAACAACGGCTACGGCTGCCACACCTTCAAGTGGGTCAACCAGGCCGGCGAGTTCGTCTACATCAAGTACCACTTCATGGGCAAGCACGGCACCAAGCGCTTCACCGATGCCGAAGCCGTCCGCATATGCGGTAAAGATCCCGACTACTCTAAGCGCGATCTCTGAAACGCCATCGAGGCCGGTGAGGAGATTGAGTGGACTGCCTACGTCCAGGTCATGAAGCCCGAGGATGCCGACCCCGAGAAGCTCGTCTTCGACCCCTTCGACATCACCAAGGTCTGGCCCCGCAAGCTCTTCCCCATGCAGGAGTTCGGCCGTCTTGTCTTCAACAAGAACCCCGAGGACTACCACCGCGACGTTGAACAGGCCGCCTTCTCTCCCGGCAGCATGGTTCCCGGCATCGAGGATTCTCCCGACCCGCTCCTTCAGTTCCGCATGTTCTTCTACCGCGACGCCCAGTACCACCGCATCGGCATCAACCTGCACCAGATCCCCGTCAACTGTCCCTTCATGGCCATGTCCTACAGCAGTCCCAACATCGGCGGCACGATGCGCGTGGACGCCAACGCGGCTGGCAACCCGCAATACGTGCCGTCCTCGTTCGTGTCCAAGTTCCGCAACGACACGGCCGAGGCGCCCTACCAGACCTCGGACAACATCTGCTCACGCCGCTCTCACTTCTGGCACGAGGGCAAGAAGAACGACTACGACCAGGCCCGCGAGCTGTACCAGCGCGTCATGTCGGAGCAGGAGAAGGCCAACCTGGCCACCAACACAGCCAAGTACCTCAGCCAGGTCCGCCACAAGGAGATCAAGCTATGTTTTTTAGCCCAGTGGCACAACATCGACCCCAAGCTAGCCGAGTCGGACTATACCGCTCTCAGGGACGAGGCCAAGAAGGACTTCACCCTTGAGGAGGTCGCTACCAAGTCGCAGGACGCCGAGCTCTGGAACAAGGCGGCCAAGTTCAGGCCCGCTCCTGGCACCAAGCTCCAGGGAGCTCCGTGCCCTGCTGGTATGGAATATGGTGCTTAAGCCCGCGTGTGAGTGATGGTATGATGCCTTGCATCAAATCAAATGAGGATATGAATGATGTCATGAGTTGATGATGGATTGGAGTTTGGGTCATATCCTGGGATTTTTTTTTCATAGAAATATTTGGTAGTGTTAATTAATTGAGTCAACGATTACTACAAAGGTTTCTTTCGGTTCTCGATGATACTCGTGGGACGCCTTGATGTTCCGCCCATTCTCCTTTAACATGTCAGGATAAAGTGTCCAGTACCTCTCTTACTAGAGGCGAGTAGAGGTACCTCGTAGAGTTTGTAACACACGGTGTATCGTTTAGAACAAAGTGACGCCACAAATATGAACTGCGTTTGGAAGCTATTAGTAAACTGTACAGCACGTATCCGACCAGTTGGATTTGACAGGCAGGCAAGGTGTTTGCGGTCTATCATCAAGCTGAATTGTCAGTAGAGGTGGAAGTATTTTGTGTGGTTGTTTCTGACATGAATGCATGGGTCAATATCACTACGAATCATAAGTTCAGCTCTTCACACAAGCAAGCTTGAGCACGGAAGTCACGTAAGGCACTTTCAACTATTGTATTATCTATCGCAGATATATCCAAGTTCGTATCCTTTCGATTCACCACCAGGAACAGGTCTACCATTCAAGTAATCCAGCATACCTGAACATCGCCCGGATTTCGTTTGTCGTCGTCACCTTTTCTCCATCCTCCTGCCGCTCGCCCCAAGGCACCCTTTCCGCCATGTAGTAGCATTCGTCGCGAACCCCTACCAAGCTCACCGGGAGCTCGTCTGTATTAACAGCACGAAGGAGCAGCGGCCATTCCCGCAGTTTGTCCATAATTTGCCGTTTCTCTGCGCGGTCCTCCTCATCTATCCGGTGCCGGATGTCGACTAGGCTGGTGCGGAGCTTGACCGAAAGGAATGCCAAGTTTCTCAGTATGTAGCAGCTTCAGGGTTTCATGAACACAGCCATTGGTGATACCGAAGCCATCAAGCTTCATGGCAGCCACCTCAGCCACCCATCGTCGTTGAACCTTCATGACAGCTACCGACCACATCGACATGCACCGTCTGAAGCCACCATGGCGACATTGAGAAGTGGCATAGGGAGTCAGTGGCGCCATTCCGTGAAGCCTTGGGATAGACATCTTTTGGGGGCACGATAGTCCCGCGGGTGACTGACTGCAGCCGTCGAATGGAGGAGAAGAAGAAGAAGAAGACATGCAGAATCGGCCATCTTTGCCATATTAGAAGCGCCGGCAAGAGAACTGGGAGCCGTTAGAGCTTCTTTCCCATCGCCGAGGTCTTTTTCACAATGGAAACTTGGAGGATGGATGCAGCTCCCAACGGGGCTCATCTGCAGAGGAGGTGCTGAACGCCTTTGAGCAGGTACAACCGACACTGCAATTTCCCGAATGTAAGCCAGACCAGGCAGGCCAGTCTCTTCTCTGAATTCCAGGTTCTTCCTCTTTCTGGCAAAATTGTAGAGTTCACCATTCACCAACCAGTTCCAAGCTTCGCCTTCTTGACTTTTATCGTCCTTTCCGTCAGAAGTACTGAAAGAAGGGGTGCAGAATGCAGTAAAGGGTCAAGTGAGTATCATCGTCGAATTTAATACTGTCCAAAATGCTCATATGTTGAGTAGATACGTGGTGTTGTCGTCGTCGTCGTCGTCGTCGTCATGGGTTAGGAGAAGTTGATGTTGTGATGCGGTGTTGTGTTTTCGCGTTTGGACGGTACTTGGGTACGCCAATCAGATGCTAAACATTCAGCCACAGTACCCGCTAATCTGGGGTTCGGGATTCCGGTGGGCTGGGTGCTGCCCAGTTGGCCTGTGGTCGTTAATGGTCCAGGCCGAATACAGCCCCGTCAGCAGAACGAAAGATTGCAAACAGTCTCCAACTCTTTGCGTTGGTCGTGATTCACAAGACGTAAACGGCTTTCATATCCATAACGTGCGTGGTTCGACTTCATATATTGAGTCTCTAACGTCGTAAGTGTTCCGTCCGCCGTGCGGGCTGTTGGTGGTGATTCTGATATTTCCCTAACAGCTTGCCCTATACACACCATGACACAGCGTGCTGAGCCTCGATAGTGCAATAACTAAGGCCCACTGTATCACGCAGTCAGGCAGTCAAAGGAGGCCAAAACTCACAGACACCATGTCCAAAAAAAAAAGGATTTCACTGCAATCGCGCGCGCCCCCATCATGAGTGAACCAGATGCGGATTCATCGCCGAAGCCTTTAGAGCCTCAAGATGGGAGCACTCATAGTTCACCAAAGGACACGCGCCCTTCATCGCCAGTCGCGTCGGCACCAGGGACACCGCCGGTAGGAACTCAGAGCGCCTCATCAACAAATGGTGAAGATGTAGCCACGACCCCCGTAGCCGCCGTGAGCGGTGGTGTCCCGTCATCGACTCCCGCTCCCGTCAGCCCGGCCACCGTCGCCGACATAACCAGTCCTCCGCCGAGTCCAAGCCATATGCGAAGCCCCGGCTCCGACTACTCCAACTCTTCAGATTGGGTTACAACCGACTCATCCCCGAGTCCAAACCCCACAATAAGTCCCAGTCCTGATTCCGATGCCGATCCCCATCCTCGAACCTATTCAGGGTCCAGCTATTCCCAACCTCATACGACTCGCCCACCAGGAGAAGAACAGCTATATGAACTGTCACCATCACCGTCGCCGTGGCCCGAGTCCTCCAACTCTGACGACAGTCAACGTGCTCCGAGCTACGCAGCACCACCACCTGGCTTCTTATTCACTCCAGCACCCACCAGGCCGCCCCCTGGCACTGGCCTGTACATTATCACCTCCGCCCCTCATCCCTACCCAGACCCTCCCATCCCTGTCTATCCCGCGCCTCAGCTTTATCCTGCTCCTCATCCTCAGGGCCATCCTGGCCCCCATCCTCATGCTCATCCCTCACATCACCTGCCACCCGTTTACATCCACGAGGCACAACCGCCGCCGCCACCACCACCACCACCACCACCACTACCACCAATACCACCACTAGTACCTCCTCCCCAAGCTCAAGTCCAAGCCGAAGCTCAAGCCGAAGCCCAATACAAGCAGATTTACGGATTAGGACACGCTCAAGCCCGCTCCTCTCAACATCTGCCACCCGTCTATATTCATGAGGCACAACCGCCGCCGCCACCACCAGTACCACCTCCGGGCAAGAATCCCCAATATGACGCCCCCTTTGGCTTCTACCGCTCGCCAGGCAAGGACCCAACAGAACGTCCAAAACCCAAGTTCTATCCGCCTTCTTCCAAACCACTGTTTGTGCCCACGGTGCGGGTAGTTAACTCGAGATCCAAACGAAACGAAGCTCGATGGTGGGGGGCTGCTCAAAAACAGCAGCAACAAAAAGGACAGCCTCAAGGACAACCCCAAAAACAGCCACAGGCTAGAGAACAACCACAACCCCAAGGACATCCACAATTCCATGGACAACCACAGCATTTCATTGGATTTGGACAACCACGAGGCGGACGGCCCCCAAAACATCAAGAAAATCCGATCAAAATCATCTACCACGAACCCCTACCACGATCAAGGTCACTCCAACAATTCCCAGCACCAACCCGTCTATCACCCCACCTCCAAGCCCAAGCCGAAGCCGAAGCAAAGGCCCGGTACAAGGAGATCTACGGCATGGGCCACGCCCAAGCCCAAACCAAAGCTCAAGCCGAAGCCGAAGCAGAGGCTCGATACAAAGAAATCTACGGCCCGGGCTACTCCCAACTCGCACGTCAACGCGATTCTGAAGCCCAGGGCCAAGCCGCAGCCTACACCCAAGCCTCAGCCCGACAATGGGAGCACATTTACCGCCCAATACCAGCCCTGCAAAACACCCAAGCCTACACTCAAAACCGACCACCACAAGTCCTGGCCCCGGGCCAGGTCCCAGCCTACCAAATCCATGGACCGCGATATGGCAATGGCAATGGCCAGAGCGCAGGCGGAGGCTACCATGGGCAGCAGGGACCGCCGATTGCTGCCATGATTCCGGTTACCATGATTCCGATTACCGGGGAAGAGCGTCGTTACCAGTGCAACTTTTTGGATTGCGCGCAGCGTTTTGCGAGGAAACATGATTTGAACAGGCATCGGAGGTCGCATTTCCCTGATAGGCCGTTTGGGTGCGAGAAGTGCGGGAAGAGGTTTGCGAGGCAGGATGCCCTGAAGGTATGTGTTTTTGTGATCTTTTCTTTTCCTTTGCGTGTTCTTTTTTTAGGGATATGAAGAGGGGTGTAGGGGTCGATGAGGTTTCAATTTGGGATTGGATGGGATTGGGAACAGGAAAAGTGAGATACTTCAGTTAAGGGAAGGTGTGATGGAACTGAGAAAGATCTCATGACGTCCGGGTGAAAGTAAATGTAGCAGATCAGGACGAGAGGGTCGGAGAGGAAAGAGCCAACGTTATAAGAAACCCGCTAACAAACCGAAAACAGAGACACATCTCATTAGCAGCAAAATGTGGCGGCAACGACCCGAAAAACCCAGTCGAGATCAGCTCAAGTCCATCTCCGTCTCCGAGTCCATCTCCCGCACCAGAACAGGCCAGTGCCAGTGCCAGTGCCACTGGCAACAACCCCAACGGTGGGCTCTGGCACGTGCCATCATCAGCGATCAGGAACGACAGCCAAACCCGCAGGGCAAGATCGCCATCCGTAGAAGTAATAAGCGACACAGAACGAAATCATCGTGGCCGCAGATCCGGACGAAAACGAAAACGTGCTCAAGAACCGATGATAGACGGTGAAGACCCGGATTACGACAGAGACTATCGACCACCAGCCAACATCCAAAACCTAAATCAGGCTGGGAGTAGTAGTCTAGTTCGTCGAAGCTAGCGGCAAAAGAGGAAGGAGCTAAATGACCATCAGCAACGGCAACGAGAGCCGCAGAATCGATGGGTGATTGGCACGAGCGTGAGCGCAAATTACGTTTCGGGGGCGGAGACGGAGGCCGCGGCCGCGGCGGGCCAGGCAGCGGCTGAAGCGACATCGGCGGCCACCGTGGCGAGTCGACAAAATAGGAGCCACAAGGGGAAGCAGAGGGAGTTGCAGAATCGATGGGCTGTTCCCACTGCTGGACCGGGTGTGAGCGGCGCGACCGCCAGCGCTAGTCACGGTACAGCGGCGTCGGCTTCGACGCCGGCGGATGCAGCAGAGGCAGCAACCGGAGCGGCAGTTCCTGATGCTGGTAGGGGAGGAGACACAGGAGCTTCCTCCGAGTTAATCTCCGGGGCAGCTTCCGGGGCGGGATCACGATGAGAGGCAGTTGCAGGTCGAGGGGAATCTTCAGAAGCTCAAGGGGAGACCCAGACTTAAGGGGAGAAGACGGCGGGGACACCATTACCAGGATCAGCAGCAGGGCCATCACCTTCATCATCTTTAAAACCACCACCACCACCGGAACTAGAGCCGATCATAACGCACGCCGGAACCGAACTGCCTGATCCCGCAATGGTCACGGTGTTCAAGTCTTTTCTGTCTCAGATGAACAACCCGTAACTTAGGATCCATACATAAGACAGACATGAACAAACAAACAAACAAACAAACAGAGATCAATAGACGCGTCCAGTCAGCTAGCTATGGGACTAACAATACAAAACAATACGATACCATAAAAGAACTCGATCATTAACTACGGAGGAGTTCAACATTTCTACATCCCGTTGGTTGTGTACACTCGTGTTTGGAGTTAGATTAAGGGGATCTGGCAATTCCTCTTGGGCGCATGCTCGCGGGAAAAAAAGAAGAAAAAGAGCCCGACAGGTAGCACACATCCGGCGCTAGCACCAGGTAGGGTTTGAAATTGGTTATCTCTACTTGCCCGGTTATGTACCCTTAGGTACCTCTATTTTTTACATCTGGAGATCCAAGAATATTGATTGGACTGGAACGAGAAAGGGCAGTGCAGCGAGCGATATTCTCAAGCGGAATCGGAAGGAAACCGGAATTACAATGCGAGGACATCACATAATGAAATGCATCCGAGTATCTAGTTGAAGTCGTGGCTTATACTGCCGGGCCGCTCCTTTCCTAGGGCACTGGCGGTCGGAGAGTCCCACAAAAAGGAGCAATGAGAAAGAGCGAGTACTTGAACGAGATCCGCCGTCTGGACTCAGGCCAAGGACTAGAGGGGAAAACAGGCGACTCGAGCCCTGACGACGGGAGTACTGCAGAATGCGAGCGAGGGCAGCAAAAAAAAATGATGATACAAAAAAAAGTTCAGATGCATTCGAAAACTGACGATGCTAGGTACGTAGATGACGCCGGACTGATCCCATCCCTCCAATCCATCCTTTCCATCATGGTGATTCCCATCCATCCATCCATACGAGACATCCACGATCCATGATCCATGCACTGAATTCCCATCATCATTCATCAAAAACCCAGCCATAGCGGCTGCAGGACAAATCAGCTCAGGTATATACAAAAAATAGGAAACAGTCCTTTCCTTGTGGGAATTTCCATCTCATCATCACTCATTTCAGTTCAACCTCCACAATGCAATCAATCCTCTGAATGACAGTGTCCAAGACACTCCGTCATATTCCGCCCCCTGTGTGAGCCCCTTAGATGTAAAGAGCATCAACGTTGGACTTGATCCAGTTATACGAATCGCTGCGGAAATCATCCTTAAGATAACCGGCGTAGTTCGCGAAGAACTGGACGAGTTTCCTCTCCTTTTGCCACTGCGGCCAGTTATGGGCAACCTTGCTCTTAGACGAGGTGCCGCCCGAGGCGTCATTGGGGTCGAGGTTGTAGACGAAGTTGGCGTAGTAAGACTGGATGCTCTTGCTGGCGTAGTTGGGCAGGATGCCGTAGAACACCTGCAGGAGATCGGAGCCGTGGAAGGTGCCGAGGATGGGGGTGCCAAAGTCGTAAGACGCAAGATACGACCAGGCGGGCACCGAGGGGTTGACGCTGGCGGCCGCGTCGAGGAAGACGCGGCGGGTGAGGGTAAAGACGAGATCGCCGAGGATGGCGGCCAAACGCTTAAAGCCAGGGTAGATCTCATTAAAAATACCCGTGCCGAAGGGGGAGCCGGCGGAGAGAAGGGGGCTGTAGGTCGAGACGAGAGACTTAATCTGCGACTCGGTGGCGTCGTGGAAGAAGACATCGTTGAGGTAGCTGACCAGCTTGCTGGTGGTGGTGATGTTGCTCTGGAAGAGGGAGAAGAGAGTACCTTCGTCCTCCTGGTCACCGATGATCATGGGAACGGCGGCGTACTTCTTGTTGACGACGAGCTTGTCGGCGCTGTCGGTAAGAACCTTGCCGTCGGGACGAGGGAGGTAAGAAAGGGCAACGGAGGTGTACGACAGAATCGCAGGCACGGAGTTAGCGGCCTTGAGGAAGGTGTCGTAGGGAAGAGCGCGCAGGCAGGCAAGGGTGTCAGCAGCACCAGAGCAGCCGGCGTTCCTGACGACGGTGTCGTAGACCTTCTGTCCCTTGGGGCAATCAACGGGGTCGGCGGGAACAATGGAACCCGAGTTCATGATGGCGCCACGGAAAAGGGGCTTGCCATTGTACTTGTTGTCGCCGTTGTAGAGAGACATCTGGTTGAAGACGGAGATGGCACCGGCAGACTCGCCCCAAATGGTGACCTTGTCCGGGTCACCGCCGAAGGCAGCAATGTTGTCGGCAACCCACTGGAGACCCATTCGCTGGTCGAGATGGCCCAAGTTGGAAGCGCCATCCTTAAGGATCTCCTTTCCGGGCATGAAACCGAAAGCACCGACACGGTAGTTGACAGCAACATAGACGTATGGCTTACCCATGTTGATAGCATTAGTAACCAAGGGAGCGCCATCGTACATGGAGGCCCATCCGAGCTGTGAATTGTTAGTGTCTGTTTATTGGTCACGGATAGAGGCCTGATTTGCTTACCTCGAAACCACCACCGAAGATCCAGAAAAGGACGGGGAGCTTATCGCCGGCCTTGGTGCCCTTGGGACGAGTGACCGAGATGGTCAAGCAGTCCTCCTTGACGTTGAGGGCAGTGTTGAAGAGCTGCGTGTTAACGAGCTTATCGATAACCTTGGGCAGGAACTCATTCGACGAGGTGTCGGCAAGGAACTGGGGGCAAGCAGGAGCAATGCCAGAGGCATCAAAGACACCGAGAGACGACTTAAGTCTCACAGGAGGCTTGAGGCGGAGGTTGCCGGTGGGAGGAAGGGCGAAGGGGATTCCGTTGAAGCCCTCAGTGAGGATGCCGTTAGCACCCACAATGGTACCCGTGGAGATGGTGACAGTCGGGGCGGCCCGCTTGTCCAACACCTGGGTAGGGGGCTCAGCTGGGGCAGCAGAGACCCGGCCGAGGAGGGCCAGCGAGGTGGCAAGGAGAGCGTTGGAAAAGCCCTTCATGGTGACGGTTTGGCCCGGAGTGGATGAGGAAGGGAAGGAGAGGGAACAGTCCTTGTCGTCTCTACTCTTCTGATCACATCTCGAAGGCGGCGGGATGGCGGTGGTTTAATACCAAATGCTGACCGACGGGTCTATCCCTAGCCAACCCTCAGGGTGACCCACCCACATGCTCCGTGGATTCATCTCACAACAACAGCTAAAGTCCTTAGTCCCTTGACCCCCGTCGGTTCAGTTGGACAACGGATGGGCAAGGGACTCGCAAGGCCAGCCCAAATGGAGAAGGCTTTGATTGTGTCTTCCACCCCGCTTTCTGGTGGTCGTGGTGTCGGGGTTGCTGACCGGAGCAACGGAGTGGAGGGAGGCTCTTTCATGGTTGTAAGCAGGCCAGGTGACCATGTGCCAACATGGAGATATGGACGAGACGGGCAAGTGGCCGAAGGTTAGGGGAGCATTTCCCCAGATTTTACCACCCCAACTACCGCCCAGATTACCAGTTCGGGCACCATTATTGGCAAGTCCAGGGAGAAATGTCTGTTTGTTTGTGGCCAGCGAACAGGGCAGTGTGACTGCTACAACAATACGACAGTAACAAGGACGACGACGAGGGCAACCATTGTGAACCCATGTTGAGAGGACTCCGCTTCCCCGTGGGGAAACCCAGAAAGGAACCCGTCGATTGGCGACATTTTGCTCGCTATCCCTGGTAGCGTAGATCTTGCCGGGGAAAATGAAATGCAACCTCAGAACTTATAGAGCGCGTTTGGATGCCCAACACCACCAAGGAAAGCCAGCGAGAGTGACACCTTTTTGTAGGAGTAGATGACATGTGAAAGATGTGCAACCAGTTCCTGAGGAGTGTCAGCCGTGTGCCTGGTGGTGTTCCTGTGCCTGGCGCTAGATGAAAAGCCTCGGTCTGGTGTAGGCAAGGATAGCCGTCGATAAAGCGGCGCCATCGGTAGTTGGGCGTTTCTTGGTGTCGGCGGTTGGCCATGGTTGGATGAGAGCTTTTCCAGACTTCCGATCGAGAGTGAGGGGTGCCCGGCCAAGAGTTGGAGTGCTGTAGCTTTGGGGGAGCTCACGAGGCTCAGGAAAGTACGGTAATTAGAGGCCATCTACTGTATAGGACAGTCCTTGCGGTGAGATTGTCCCTGGAGTTTGTTGGTGATGAAGCCATTTATTTCCGTTGAATATCTGACTGTGTTTTTGTCTCGTCATGTCACGGTCCGATATGAGCAAGACATTGTTGAAGCCACGCATGCTCAAGACAAGCTGAGATACGAGGGGGCTGAGGACTGAGGTGAGTCAAGGTGACACTGTCGGACACAGAAACAAGAAAGAAACACAAACTCAAAGTCAAAAATGGAAAGAAGAACGAGAACGGAAGTCGGTGGAGTCGAAACAAAAAGTGGTGAAGAGTGGATCGCCGCCGGTGCAGGTGGGCTGGGTTGGGGCATCATGTGGAGCTCGGGGATTGACCGATAGTTGCAGCCGGTGCCTCTGTGCTATCCGCCCAGTGCGGAAGGGAGACAGGGACTCTGTAACGGCATTTCCAAGCCGGGGTTCCTTCCCTGCTGGTGATAGCGCAACGGCATCTTCCATCTTTCCTCACTGGGGCCAGCTGCCCACTGCGGCGTGGAACCAAAGTCGGGTCAGCACTGGAAAAAGGGGAAATTACAGTTACTCCCCATTCTGCGGTGCAGGTGCAACTGCCCGCCATTGCATTTTGATATCGTCCGAGTCCGCCGACTCCTCCATTTTAGCACACGGCCAAACTGGATCCCATTATCCAATCCTTTGGTATCCGCTTCAAGGCCGTTGCAACCCCAGCCTGTTTCCAGACGGCCCGTTTTGATACTCAACAACCCCAATTTCTCAACAAGAAGAAAAACTTTTCGTGATGGAGTTTGTCTGGTCTCTAGGCATTATCAACATTGTGGCATCGTGCGTTCAAGTTTTGCGACGTTGCGCGCCTTGAACTAGATCTGCCTAAACTCTCGGCCTAGGCAAAATGTTCGAACACCAAGCTTTCTTCTTTCATGTGAAAGAACATCTCCAAATGCCAATACTACCAGACTAGTGTACTGATCTCCTCGTGAGGGGTCAGGTCGTTGGTGTTGGTCATCACTCATCCAAGGAACCGTGGACAACCTCCAAATGCGAGACTCATCACATTCAGATACAAGCGCCGAACGATGACCTCCTCCCTTCCCTCCATGATCCATCTTGCATGCAGCACAATCGGAGACAAAGCGGGGGGTACGGGAACCACGGGCCATGTTAACGGCAAACGGCTGCCGCGGTTTTTGGTGGTGTTGTACATGGTCGAGGGACCCAACCACCACCTCCTCGTGTTCGTGATGTTTCTCAGCGGTGGGTTTGCTGATCTTGACACCAAGGAAGAAAAGTTGGGGTAAAGCCACTAGCGGCGGAAGTGAAGATGCGGGGGTGTCCAATCACAGGTCTGCGACAGTTCCTGACGTCTGCCAACCCTTTCCTCTTCCCAGTTAGCTCCCAAGCTCACCAAGTCCCAAAGAGAGTCCAGATCTTCCGTCTACTGTATGTACTGCGTAAACTTCTCTCCATCTTCACCGACAAAACAAAAACATGTGCAAAACCGCAAAGCCTGGAACTCCTGAAGGAACCACTCCACAGCCGAATTGATTACCGAAACGGGCTTGGCTCATTCAGCTCGGGGAGTTGGATTATTGCGAAGCTCAAAAGCCTCCGCATCGGAAGTTTGGGTTGTAAGCTCATCCATCACCCGTCAATAGTCCGCGTCCTACGCAGGACACTCGAACGAGATGGGAGTATCGAAGCACGGAGCAAAAGCTGGACCATGTCCTTATCTTCCGTCCAGAGATCTCTGTCACCTGAGCACCATCTCTCGTGGTAACCCGAAGAAGAAGAAAAAAAAAAGGAAAAAAAATAGGAAGAGCACAAAAAGAGCAAATTTTAAAATGAAACACAAAGTGTTACTAGTCTTTCCGCCGGCCAAAAGATTATGTATCATGGACCACGGACAGCAGCAAGCCAAGCGGGTATGAAATACCCGTGGACCTGAGCTCGGCTTGTCTCGCTACACCCACTCTCTTGCAGATAATCTGTTCTTCTTCCTCCCGAATACTAACAGCAAGTCTAGCTCCTCGAGTCTTTCCACACATTCACGGGCCCATGCCAAGTCATCCACCAGACCCATCAGGTACCACCACTTGATCGTCCTGTCTCTGGTCGTGGTTCCTAAACCACCACTGCAAGTGATGGGACTGGATCCCGATCATCACACGCACCCACCTCAACAAGTAGCCCAGTCCCACCTTTCAAAAAAGGGGGGCTCGATCCCGCCACCAGACATTGTCAAACTGTCTCTTGTGCCTGACGATCCGAGGCCACGGTTTGTCAATGGTTTGCGGGCCTCCCACGTGTCAAGACGACGGATGTGATGATGTTCATGCTCAACGGTGAGCACATGAATGGGGGGGCGGGAGAGAGTGGAGAAGGACGGGTATATAAAACAGATCGATGTGATGCGCATACCATCTGCAAGGAACCAGGCACTCATCAGCGGTTGATAACTTGGCGGGTTGAAACTCGCGATAACTTGGGAACTCGGGTTGTCAATAGGTACCGTTGGAAAATTCAGGGCGTGATCAACGAAGAAGCCAGAGCTTACTTGCCTAGTGTGCTATTTTCGTAAGAGCTGAAGCTGGTTGTAGGTTATGGCTCACTGGCACAGGCGGACGAAGGCAACTGTCCGGATGTTATCGTCCAGATCGAGACCGAACCACATCCGGCAATTCAAGCTCCGCCACATTGGCCTTCCTCATACATATGTAGGTAACTATCCCCAAGAAGGTCAGGATCATGACACTACTGTACCCCTTTTAACCCCGAAGCGTCAAAGGATTCCAACCTCCAAGCTTCAGTCTAGCTGCCGCAAATTACTCCAATCCATACACACCGCCTCTCGTCATCTCGCCTGGCCGGGCCAGTCCCAATCTCTCAACCTTACATCTTGTTGAACTCATCGTTAACAACATTGTTGATCTCCGGGAGGAGAGCAGCCGGAACGCCTTCCTTCTCTGCCACTTCATCGACGACTGGTGATTTACTTTGTTAGAACATATCCCCCTCATCTCTACCTGGGTCACTGAGTTGACCTGGAAGGTAAGGTACTGTGAACGGAGTCTAACACACTGCTGTCAACAACGGCATCTTCCTTGGAATCGTTACCGGTCTTATCGGCTGCTACTTGCTCGGCGGCGCTGGAAAGGGGGGAGGGCAGGGAGGTTAGTCACATGCTTCAATCGCGTGGCCCTGAGACAATTTAGGAGGTTTAGGCTTAGAGGTAGACTCGAAGTCTGGAGGTGTGGACATGGCCGCTTGGCAACCGAAAACCTTTCCCCATAGGCAGGAAAAGGGAGGAACATGTGAGAATACCGGTAACCTACTCCTGGCCGTCAACAGCGTCGACCACCTCCTCGACAAAATCTTCCAGGCCCATGGTTTGTTGTAAGTATTGCTGGGCTTTTGGTTGCTTTTGGTGGGTGGCTTTTGGTTGCTTTGGTAGGTAGTAACTGAGGATCGGTAGATGATGGTGGTGGTGGCTCGTCAGGGACAAATAGTATCGGCTTAGTTTCGATATGACGATGATCGATAATTGATATGCCCGCAGTCAGTCTAGGGAATTGGAGGTTCGTTGTTGAAGTTTGTGTAGGTAAGGTAGGTAGTAATATGCCATGCGGTTTTCTCGTAAATTATGTATGGGGAATTGAGACGTTGAGGTTGCTTTCAAGCATTCAGAGGAATACTTTGAAACATCGCAGTAGTCACCAACGACAGAGTGGCCCATCCGTACAAGCCTCACGGATGGCAGTCACGACTGTTCCGACATTGGTTCTCTGAGGAAGGAAACTACGAAGAACAATGGGCCGGATCACCTACCTACCCAAACACCCAGCTGAATCATTGTTGATGTTCTTTCCATTTGTAACGATACTTGACGGAAGGCGCGGACGATATGAAATATGACGACCCGGCTCGACCCTCCCGTCTGACTTCCCTCAGTGTTACTTAGTGGACACATAATCCTCAAATACATGCAGCTTCCTCATCCAGCAAGAGCGAAACGACCAAAAGTATAGGTAGTCTCGGTTGTGTGCATGAGAAGACAGCAGAGAACAAAAAAGGAGCTACCTACCTATATCCTTTCCACACCTTCCACTTCCACTTGACACCCCTCAGGGGCGTTATCCGAAATCCAGCCCGAGTCTGCTTCTGGTTACCGTAACGCGCGGGAAACGCACCTTGAGGTTACTGGTAACCACTGACACAACTAAACACTGACACTGACACATGTGTTTGACAGTTTGTGAGAGTCAAAAGTACGTGCATGTCCTTTACTTGGATATGGTGATGTAGTTCATACGAAGTGTGTCTGATCGAGCCAAAGGTAGCAATGGCCACCAAGAGTGGGTAGCTTGTGTAGGTGAGTGTTTGACTGACTGACTGGCGCGTTTGGCATTCTCTCCCCGGTTGGGTTTGATGACAGTCGGAAATATCATGGACGAATCGGTCAGAAGGTGTTTGAGTGATTTAAGAATCTAGGACCCTTCGAGCCGGATATCATTCGTTGCTGGTCTCCCAAATCAGAATGCCTTTGACACGCTACCGTGTTCCTATCCTGATCCTGATACCTCTATGTATACGCAAAACAATGACAGAATGATTCCGCATTAGTTGATTAAGGCATTAAGCCGAGGTGGGCATCGGCTTGTGACAAAGGCTTAGAGGGAAACGCTTGATAGACCTCGAAGACAACTCCTTTCATCCAAAAATCGGGAAATCAAATAGCAGTATTCGTGTGTTCTTACATGACTCGATACCGGTCATCTCATCCATATGTTTACAAAGGACTCAAACAGAGATAAACAGGAACGCTCCTTGCACCAGTACTCTTAACACCAAGGCCAATATACCATATCCGACCTGATCAAACAAACCACAAGTTGGGGGTATCCGTTTCCATGTTTCCCAAGCTTCCTGATCCGAGACGCCATCGCATGCCCGTTTGTAGTTCCCACCTCTTTCTAGCCCTTGCATCCTGCTTCGCCATTCGCCTTGTTGATAGAACGCATAATACAACTCCAGTGATACAGAAATAACACATATACTCAAGGTATAAGACATGATTCATGACAATAACATCGCGTGTTTGCATAGAGAAGATAGGCCCTGATAAGAAACGCCTCATGAGCATGACCTCGCCGACCACCTCCGGTCAATCGGCCGACTGTGCGTCAGCAACTAACGGACCTCCACAGCACTGATAGACCTCGCTGTCCTCCTCCTCTTAGTATTCGGACTTAGCACGGGCCGCTCACGATCTCCTCGATCTGGTGCTCGATCGGCTGCTGTTCGATCTGCTCGATCCGTCTCGGACCTGGTAGGGCTCGTTGTGGTGTCACTCTCGGTAGGCGCCTCCTCCTCGAAGCTGCTGTTGTAAACCTCGGAAAGGGGTTCCCGTTGGCTATCACTCTCACTGCTCTCCGCCATCTGGGTCTGGGAGCTCGTGGCGCTTCCCTGGCTGTTATAACCCTGACTTCCCTGACTCTGAGCCTGACCTTGGCTCTGACTTTGACTGCTCGGGCTACTCTCTGATTCCCTCCCACCCTGCCTCTCGGCACGCCGTTTCCTTGAATTGGATTCGTTCCTGGGCGGTGTGTTGTTGTTGGTGTCGTCCTTGCGCGGTTCGACGAGGAGGTCCCAGAAGCCGATGTGATCGGGGTGAGAGTCAGAGTAAACATCCGGACCAACGATGTCCCTACCTAGCGCCCTAGCCAGGCGCTCTTTCAGACCGAGAATGGGCCAGAAGGGAACAGGCGTCATGGTTATGTCGAGGCTAATCTGCTTCTTCGCCTTCTTGGATGACTGGGGTGCCCTGAGCGGGTACAGCCAACGCTCCATGTAGTCTGCCGTTACCGTCGCCGTGTAGACTAGGAACCTGGGGTTGTTCTCGATGCCCTCGTCGTGGGCGATGACTGTCACATTGGTGTCCTCGAACTTGGGTTCCGCAATCTCGAATGGTTTGCCGTTACCGGAGCGGTTGGATTGTTGGGAATCAGACTTTTGCGAGAACACAATCTCCTGGTAGAACTGTGCTTGCACCATAGAGACCATCATCGCGACAATATACGGATCCTGATCGACGTCGGCGGGTATCAGATGTTTCGAGCGCAATGCCTGTAGACTGGCGACAGCTTCATTGGGATTGAAGGGCGTTTGAACAATACGGAATAGGTTTTGTCGAATCAAAGCAAGTTGCGACTTGTTAAAGTAAGCTAATATCGGCGCGTTGGGTGTCTGTTGTGGTAGTTCGGGC